AATGCCTGTAGAGGTCAGTAGAGGGCATCAGATCCCCTGGAACTGGAGTTATGGACAGTTGTTAGCTGCCATGTGCTAGGAACTGAACCCTGGTTCTTTGCAAGAGCAGCCAGTGAGTGCTCTTAACCGCTGATACATCTCTCTAGCCCTTCATTCGTTTTTATGTGTCTGTGCCCTACACTAAGGCTTTCTAATTCAGCCACAGATCACATTTCCAAAAACGTATGCATGTCTGTCTGGCCTTCTCACTGCTGTCTGTCCATTTTCATTGGTTATCACAATTTATGAAGTGGGTTGGATACCTAGCAAAGCATCTTTGTGAGTCCAGATGTCTTTTGAGCTAGACATTAAAGAAAATTTGTAAAAATGCAAAATAACACTAATCTGCTTACAATTTTTATATTAAAAACAATTGTTTTCATAAAATATTTTTCATATTGTCTAGTAGGTTTATTTTTATTATTTTATTTTTGAGATGGGGTCTCCTATGGCTCCCTGCCTGGCCTGGAACTCCCTGTGTAGACCAGGCTGGCCTGGAACTCATAGAGATCTATCTACCTCTGCCTCCTAAATGCTGGGATTAAAGATGTATACCACCACACCCAACCTATTTTTCTTTTTAAATTAATTTAGAATTTTTAAATTTTAGTTTTAGCTTTGAGTGTGGAGTAAGTATCTTTGGGGTTCTCAGAATTTTGAGTATAGGCTCTGCCCTTGTTCTTTACATTTTCAGAAACTATGCTACAATTGCAGCTGATCTTTTTAAAAACCTTAACTTGGAGCCAGGCATTGTGGCTCACGCCGTTAATCCCAGCACTCAGGAGGTAGAGGCAGATGGATCTCTGTGAGTTCAAGGCAAGCCTGGTCTACATAGTGAGTTCCAGGACAGCTGGGGCTACAAGGAGACCCTGTCTCAAAAAGACCGAAACAAAAAAAACCTTAACGTGGGGTTGGGGATTTAGCTCAGTGGTAGAGCGCTTACCTAGCAAGCGCAAGGCCCTGGGTTCGGTCCTCAGCTCCAGAAGAAAAGAAAAGACCTTAACTTGATTAAGAATACAACTTAGACAGTAATATCATAGATCAGGTTAATAAATCAGACACATTAATCAGTTGTATTTCTTTTTTTTTTTTTTTAATATTTTATTATTTTTATTTTGTGTGTATGAGCGTTGCGCCTGCATGTAGGTAAGGGCACCCTGTCGTGCAGTGCCGGCAGAGGACAGAAGAGGCTGTTGGGTCCCCTGGAACTGGAGTTACGGACAGTTGTTAGCTGCCATGTGGGTGCTGGGATTCGAACCCGGGTCTTCTGCAAGAACAGTCAGTGTTCTTAACCGCTGAGCCATCTCTCCAGCCCCAGTTGTATTTCTTAAGGCCTGTGAGTGAACCCAAAGCTGACAAAATTTAATGAGAAATGTTGAAAAATACTAAGTATAAAAGGGTACTGAACTGGATGGGGCAGCTCACATCTAAATTTAAGCCAAGCATTTGGAAAGTTGAAGCAGGAGGATCACAAGTTCCAGGGCAGTGTGGGCTATAGAATGAGACCCCCCTGGGCTTAAACTGTGGGGGCTTACTAATATCAGAAGTTCAAGAACCATCACCCTGAAGTAAACATTTAAGGCTATAACATATTTTGTCAGGTTCTCTCATAGCTGCATTCCTTAAGTGTGTCTCCCCTTTGTGCCTGCCCTGCCTTGTTTCTCCAAGCCATTGATAGGTAATATTTTGGTAGTTCGTTTCTAAACATGTTCTTGTCTCCACTGTGATTTTTTTTTTTTTTTTAAATACTACATTTCTGTGTGTGGGTGAACGTAACAACCTTTGGTAGCCAATTCTGTCTTTCTACCAGGTGCGTCTGGGAACCAGTTTCAGATCATCAAGCGCAGGGCCAGGGTCTTTACCCACTGAGCCATCTTGCCATTCCCACTATGAAACCTTTTATTTGATCATTGAGTTGTTTCCACCTCTGGAGTTTTTGTTTGTTTTGAATGAGATAGAGTCTCACTGTGTTGCCCAGGCTAGTCTTGAACATCTGGGCGCAGGTGAGTCTCTCTCCTTAGCCTCCCAAATAGCTATGATTACAGGCCCATCTGCCTCATAGGCTTTTACATGTGTTTTAAATTTTCTAGCTGTAAATGGTTTTCTCTAGTTCTTTTTGTTATTGATCTCTTAACTTAATGCATTGTGGTCAAAGGATATGATTTGTATCATGCAAGTTTTTGAAAATTGTTGAAACAGACCAGTCAATATTTAAAGTTTTCTTTAGTGCTATATTTTTCTTCTTAATTATTGGATGCATTGTTGTAAAAACATTATACTCAGGTTTAGTCAAAGTCAACAGGGTAAAATCCAGCCTGGATTCTTTTATTTTAGAATTCCTGCATTCACTTTTTGCTTTCTAGAATTTTTCAGGGTATTCACTCTGCCATAATGCTGAAAACAGAGGTCTGCTTAGTCCTTGAAACATACCATATTTTTCCTTTGGCTTCAGTAAACCACAGTTTTCTGCTAAACCTTTTGGGCATGGAGACATTATTTTCATGTTTATATTCTTTATTGGCCATGGGCTCTCTTTTGAAATAGGGTCTTGTAGACCAGGTTGGACTCAAACTTACAGTCCTCCTACTTCAGTTACCGAGTGTTGAGAATTCCGGGTGTACCAAACAGACTGTGCAGTACTAGGCTATGGGCTCCTATAGGAGCTGGAATCATTTCGTCGTCTTTTTCACCCTTATTGGATTTTTGAAAGCGTTTATTTAAAATAAAAATGAAACCCTCTATTTGTTGAAGTCTTTCCCTTCCTGTAAGAGGAAAAAGTTTCACTAAGAACCTGTTAGTAGTTAAGGTTGATAGAAGTGTATTCAGAATTCAGTAGAGAGAAAATGTTACCTTCGTATGTATAATTTGAGTTTTCCTTGATTTTAAAATAAGACAAAATTATTTTATTGCTAGGCACTTCATTGTGAAAGAAATATCCGTTGTTAAAAGTATTTCATAATACTGTGAGGGTGGCAGCTCCCTTCCCTCTCGCCCTCAGGTTAACTTCAGATTTGTAATCCTACCTCAGCCTCCTCAGTTCTGGGATTGAACATACCACCACACCAGACTAAGAGCAGAGAACTCTTTTGAGTTACAAACACATACTCATGCTGTCCTAGTCTGTTCTTCATTGCTGTGACAAAACACTCTGACCAGTACCAACTTGGGGAGGAAAGGGTTTATTTGTCTTACATCTCCCAGGTCACAGTTCATCACGGAGCCCAAGGTAGGAACTCAGGGCAGGAACCTGGAAGCAGGAGCTGGAGCACAGGCCATGGAGGAACACTGCTTACAGGCTTGTTCCTTTGGCCCCTGCTCAGCCTGCTTTCTTATGCAACACAGGCCCACCTGCCCAGGGGTGGCACCACCCACAGTGGGCTGGGCCCTCCCACATCACTCATCAAGAAGATGCCCTTCAGACATGGCCACAGGCCAGTCCAATAGAGGCAATTTCCAGATTGAGGCTCCCTCAACCCAGGTGTGTCAAGTTGACACTAAAGCTATCCAGCACACATGCTTTTTCTTTTTACTCCAAGAATTAGGATTTAAGAATTTTTATAGGGTCAGTGAAATGGCTCAGCCAGTAAGATACCTGTTGCCGAGCCTGACAACCTGAATTCAGTTCTCAGAACCTACATGTTGGAAGAAGAGAAATGACTCCTCCAAGTTGGCCTCTGATCTCCATACATGTGCTGTGACATGTATGCACCACATATACAAATATACTCTGTATACTCTTGCATACAATTTTAATAACAGTGGTTATGTTTTTTGAGGTGCTAGGAATTAAACCCTAGCCATGCTAGCAAGCACTCTTACCAGTAGCTACACCCTCAGTCCCGCTGTGGTTTTTGTTTTGCTTTATCATATACTAAAAAGGATGTCCACTGATGATAACAAGGGCAGAGGTGAATATTAAAAGTTGTACATATAGGCCTGGAGAGATGGCTCAGAGGTTAAGAGCACTGACTGCTCTTGCAGAGGACCTGGGTTCGGTTCCCAGCACCCACATGGTGGCTACTAACCGTCCTTAACTCAAGTTGCAGGGGAATCTGAGGCCCTCTTCTGACCTCCGGAGCATTGCATGACATGGGTGCACTCACATACATGGGCAATACACTCATACACATAAAATAAAAATAATAAAATATTTTTTAAAAAATTTAAAAAGCTTAACAAATAAAAAAATGCATAATACAGGAAAGTGAGATCACTCACTGGGTAAAGGTACTTGTTACCAAGTCTAAAGATCTCAGTTTGATCCCTGGGACCCACATGATAGGAGAGAATTGACTCCCACAAGTTGTTCTATGACCTCCACCCACATAATACATTTAAAAAATATTTATGAAAGCAAAATAGAAAGCTGGTTTAGAACATCTAGTATGTCAGTCAAAACGCCTCCAGGCCTGATAGGTTGTATTCTGATGATGTACAATAAAAAGATGTTTGTGGAAATAGCCTTTAAAAGGATCATGTTCAAACATCTGTAAGAAAATTAAGTATAGACATTAGATTGTAAGTTGAATTTAAATTGATTTTCAGACTGCTTCTGTGTAAAGGGTTACCTTCAAGTTTTTCTGGAAAGCTTATCTGTCTCCATAGTTACCAGTTACTCTGGATTTTATTAGAAAGCAGCAAAGGAAGCACTGGGATCAGCAAGCCCTTTAACCTAGAGCATTGAAGCTGTATAACCTCAGTGACATAGCTGTGAAGTTTCAAAGAAGGTGATGTTTATAACTGCTTTACAGCAGCAGTGTTAAAATGGAAACATTTTGGCATTAGGTTGTGAATTGTAGGGCAGCCGCATTTTGAGAATTAAGCATATATGTATGTAAGAGGTACAAGTGACTTGTATAAATGAAGATGGTCAAGCATTGGGAGGAAACTTAGTCACTCATTTTAGATGGTATAAATGAAGATGTTAAAAAGTACAAATTACTATTCATGATGTTTTCTAGAAACGACTACAGAAAGAATTGTTGGCTTTGCAAAATGACCCACCTCCTGGGATGACTTTAAATGAAAAGAGTGTTCAGAATTCAATTACACAGTAAGTATTTGTTAAAGGTCTTCTTGCTTATATTGGTGATCATTATGTTCAAATATATACTCATTAAAATACTGTTTATATTTCATTGCAGTTATACCAGTAGTAACTGCAGTGTAAAGATTATTCTGTATACTTGTATAAATGATTGTTTTCTTTAATGTCACTTTGTCATTATATACATATTGTCACATAATTTGTAAAGCTTTCTTTTTTAAAAATTATTTAATAACCACATGATTAGAAGAAGCATTTCATTACAGCTTTAACATACTCAATAACAATTTCCAGAGCAAAGATACATCTCTTTCAAAAGTGGCTATAAATTTTTAGGTTCATAGTTGAATTAATATAGTTATACAATATTGAACTCAGTATAAACCCTATAAGATATGAAATTGGATGCGGTTTTAACCTTTAAAAAAAATCTCCATTGCATTTTAAAATATACTGTTTCCTACAGAAAGACTCATTTTTACTGCTACTAACTTAGATGTTTGCACATGTGTCTCTAATCTCTGTGTACCTGATTATTACTAGTCACAGTCAGTTACACTCAGATCCTTGGCACCTGAGTATGGGTATAAAGTCATCAGGTAGATTTCATTGGTGATGTTTATCACCTCTACTAATTAACATGAAGTAAATTTTTATGCTTCTTCCTCAAATATAACTCATTTTTTTTATTTGTTGATTCTTGTATGTGTGTTCATACAGAACATCCCCCAAAATCTTACTCATCTATATACCCACTTTCCAAATGGCACCCTCCCATAGCCTCCCCCGAACCCCCACTGGAGCCCACATACTCTGTCATCCCTGTTACTGTCCACTTTGTTGTTGGCAGCACAGCCATTCCCCAGTGCTTGTCCATCCACTGAATCTAGTCAGCCTATCTAGAGTGCCTTGTTTTAGGAAGATCAGCTGTTCCTCATCTAGCAGCAGTCAGTTGTCAATATTCCTTTAGATAAGATTGGGGTCTACTGTTCATTTTCCTAGTTCTGTGCTGGGTTACTGTCTGGGAGTCTCTTGGGCCACCCTGGCCAACAACTCAAAGGAAGGTATCTCCTATCTGCCATTGTTAATTGTTACATAGCCTTGGACTCTTAAAAAATTATATTGATCCCTTTAATCTTTGGTTATATGTCCCTTTTGGGTGTTTAAGACCATACAGTTGGCCAGATAAACCAATTTATTTTGACTCTTTAGACTGTTTGAGGATCTGTTCCTCAGAGTTCACATGGGCTTGGGAGGAGCCCCTGGCTCCTTTCTTTTACCAGTTCCATCTATGTGAAGATAAGTCAAACATCTTCCTCGACCATGGCTGGCTTTGCTTGGAAGCATGGAGGAAATGTTTCCTCTATGTTGACCCTCCTCTAGATTGTAGACTGGTTCAAGTCCATTTGGTGGGGTCTCCATAGCCTCCTTGTTCAAGAGGACAGGTGGCTCACCGCAGTTACAGGACATTTTGAGAGATGCTCATAGTCCACTGGAACTTAGTCAACCTAGGACGGCAAGGAGCAAAAGCTGTCCTTTATGTCCCTCTGACCAAATTAGTATAGGCCTCAAAGTATGGCTGTTAAACATCTAAGAGGGTTAGTTCCACCAGTATAGTACTGTTAATTACCGTGTACCATGTAGATAAAGCTTGTCAAAGACCAAACATTCTCAGATAAACCTTGCCTCGACATATATTATATTCCTTGATCTGGTTGTATGTATAATTAGTCAGTAGGTTGGTGGAATTTTTGGCATCTCTTAGATATAATATATCATCTGCAAAAAGGGATAATTTGATCTCTTCTTTTCCAATTGCTATGCCTTTAATTTCCTTCTCTTATTGCTCTTGCAAGAGTTTCAAGCAGTATGTTAAGGAGAAGTGGAGATAGTGGACAGCCTTGTCTAGTTCCTGATTTCAATGAGAATGCTTCCAGTTTTTCTCCATTTAGAATGATGTTAGCTGTGGGTTTGTTGTATATAGCTTTAATTATGTTGAGGTATATTCTCTAAAGTATAATACCCTCTAGGACACTGAACATAAATGCCTGTTGAATTTTGTCAAAGGCCTTCTCTGCATCTATTGAGATGACCATGTGAGTCTTGTCTTTGATCTCATTTATATGATTTATGATGTTTATTGACTTACATATGTTGAACCATCCCTGCATCTCTGGAATAAAGCTGACTTGATTATGATGGATGATCTTTTTGATGTGTGTCTGTATGCGGTTTGCAAGTATTTTGCTGAGAATTTTTGCATCTATTCATTAAGGATATGGGTCTATAGTTTTCATTTTTTTGTTGTATCCTTACCTGGCTTTGGTATTAGAGTGGTGCTGGCTTCATTGATGGAATTTGGAAGTTCTCCTTCCATTTCTATCTATTTGAATAAATTAAGTAGTATTGGATGTAGATCTTCTTTAAATGTCTGGTAGAATTCTGCTGTAAATCCATCTGGTCCTAGGCTGCTTGTAGTCAGGAGGTTTTGTATTACTGTTTCAATTTCCTTATGTGTTACAGGTCTGTTTAAGCTGTTAATCTCCTTGGTTTAGTTTTCCATCTGGTCCTGGGCTTTTTTTAGTTGGGAGGTTTTGTATTACTGTTTCAATTTCCTTATGTGTTACAGGTCTGTTTAAGCTGTTAATCTCCTTGGTTTAGTTTTGGTCATTCCCATGCTTTCAAATACCCGTCCTTTTCTTTTAGGTTTTCAAATGTAGTAGCATATAGGTTTTTAAAGTATTCCCTTATAACGTTCTGGATCTCTCTGGTGTCTGTTGTGATGTTTCCCGTTTCATCTCTTATTTTGTTGATTTGGACGAGCTCTTTCTTTCTTTTGGTTAACTAGGCTAGGGGTCTGTCAATCTCGTTTATCTTTTCAAAGGACCAGCTCTTTGATTCGTTGATTCTTTGTATTGTTTTCTTTGTTTCTATGTCATTAATTTCTGCCCTGATTTTTGTTATTTCTTCTTGTCTGCTGGGTTTGGGTTTCATTTGTTGTTGCTTTTCAGCTGTCTTGAGTTGCAAGTCATTTGTGTTCTTTCCGATTTCTTAATGTAGGCACTTAGAGCTATAAACTTACCTCTAAGGACGGCTTTCAGGGTGTCCTAGAGGTTTTGTTGTGTTGTATTGTCCTTTTCATTTAGTTCCAGGAATACTTTTATTTCTTTCTTAATTTTCTTTCTTTCTTAATTTGACCCATTAATCATTCACAAGTGTGTTATTTAATTTCCATGTGTTCATGTAGTTACTAGGGTTTCTTCCAGTGTTGATTGTTAAGCTTTTTTGCATTGTGATCTGATAGAATGCATGGAATTATTACAATCTTTTTGTATTTGTTGAGGTTTGTTTTGTGCCCCAGTATATGGTTGATTTTGGAGAAGGTTCAATAGGGTGCTGAATAGAAAGTATATTCTTTGGTGCTTGGGTGGAATATTCAGTAGATATCTGTTAGGTCCATTTGATGGTATCGTTTAATTCAGATGTCTCTCTATTAATTCTTTGTCCTGTTGATCTATCTAATGGAGACAATGGGGTATTGAAGTCCCCTACTATTAATGAGTTGGGGTTAATCTGGGTCTTAAAGTCTTGTAGTACTTACTTTTTCTATGAAGTTGGGTGCACCAGAGTTTGGTGAATATATGTTCATGATTGTAATATCTTCTTGGATATTTTATTGTTCCTTTGATCAGAATGAAGTGGCCCTTTATATCTTATCTGATTAATTTCAGTTTAAAATCTATTTTTTCAGGTACTAGAATTGCAGCATCTGCCTTTTTCTTAGTACCATTTGCTTGGTATATATTTTTTTCCATACTTTCATCTTAAGGTAGTGCCTGTCCTTGAAAGTGAGATGAGTTTCTTGGAAACAACAAAAAGATGTGTTTTGTTTCTTAATCCATTCAAGTAGTTTCTGTCTTTTGACTGGAGAGTTCAGTCCATTGATATTTTAAAGTTATTAATGAAAGATGTGTATTGAATCCTGTCATTTTTATTTCTGTTCACATTCTTGGTATAGCTGTGCATTTCCACAGTTATATCTTCATTAAGTTTCTTTCTGCAACCCCTTGGGTATAGTCATTCCTTTCTTCAGCTCTTTGTATTGCTCCCAGAACTCTCTGTAGGGCTGGTTTTGTGGACGAGAATTCCTTCAGCCTATTTATGTCATGGAAGATTTTTCTTTCCCCTTTGATTATAATAGACATTTTGGCTGGGTAAAGTAATACGTGTTGGTATGTGTGGTCATTTAGAACTGGGAATACTTTGGTCCAGGCTCTTCTGGCTTTCATAGTTTGCACTGGAAAGTCAGCTGTAATCATAATGGGTTTTCCTTTATATGTGACTTCTTGTTTCTCTTTTGCAGCTTTCAGTATTGTCTCTTTGTTCTGTACGTTTAGTGTTTTTACTATGATGTGCTGTGGAGAGTTTCTCTTCTGGTCCTGTCTGTTTGGTGTTCTATATGCTTCTTGTATTTGTATAGGCATATCTTTCTTTAATTTTGGGAAATTTTCTTCTGCAATTCTGTTGAAGATCGGGTCCATACCATTATCTTGAGATTCTTTGCCTTCCTGTATGCCTATGATTCCTAAGTTAGGTCTTTTTATGGTGTCACACAATTCCTGCATATTCCATTCTTGTGTTTTCTTAAATTTTTCATAATCTTTGCTTGAGTGGTCTAATTCGTCCCCTTTATCTTCTAGTCTTGACATTCTGTTTTCCATTTCATTCATCCTGTTGGCGAGGCTTTCTCCTGTCATTTCTATTTGGCTTACTGAATGTTACACTTCCTTCTTCATTTCCACCTGAGTATTCTTCAATGTTTCTAACTCTTTTCTGAATTCATTCAGAAGTTTATCCCTATCTTCTTTCAGTTCCTTGATTTCTTTATGTGTTCTTTAAATTCACTGAATTCTTTTTTTTTAATATTTATTTTTATTTTATGTGTATGAGTGTGTTGCCTGTATGTATGTGAGTGCACCCGTGTCATGTAATGCTGTGGAGGTCAG